CCCCCCCCCTCACACACACACACTCACACATATTATTAGACATGTGCGAAGACTAAAAATTAATTTCAGATTAAATTAACGAAAACTAAAAAAGTTTTCCTGTCAGCTCCATGGCAGCACACGAATGGGTTAATCCCTCCCTCCTCCCTCCCCCTAATCAGGATCGTAACTCATAAAAGCTGAAAGAGTCCCCTGGCTTGCCGTTCCTTTTTTTTTTTTCCTCCTACATGTGAGGATCAGAGCAGTGTGCTTCCTAGCAGGGATAAAGTTCTTGCTGTCCGCCTTCTTCTTCTACCTCCTTGAGTTGGCGAAGTCCCTGTGAGCCCTTTCCTAAATGGTGCAGGTCCATGGGAGCCCCGCTGGTGATCCTCGGGCCTGGCTAACAAAGTGTAAGTACACTGCTGTTGCTCATTATGGGTGAAGGAGATATTCCTACTTGGTCTGGGTGCCTAAAGGTGCCCATACACCTTACAGTTATCTGGAGAATTTTTGTCTTTCAGCAGAAAACGTTTGTCTATTTGGATGTAAATTGACAGGTTAATGGTGTGGTTGTACAATAAAAATCTCTAGATGCAAACTGCACATGCTCAAACGAAATGTTGTCCTTTTGATCAATATAAATCAGCTAGGTGGGGATGCTGGCTAGCATTATTTGTGAACTACATTGGTCTGTGCATGATGGGTTAGTTGTAAGAAAATTGTATGAAGGTGTGATGTCTGCACAACAAAAGTTGTACAATGGTTGTAAGTTGTATGGCCATCTTTACATAGGTGATTATGTGGTGCTGCTAATACCTAAGCTGACTCTTGCAGGTATTACCTGAAACACCTATTAGCTTGCTTTCAGGTGCTTTAACCCCGCAGGTGCTTGCTAAGTGCAGGCTGCTGCCACTGGTAGCTCTGCTTCTAAATATTTTAACTGGATCTTACAGAAAGGTGTTTGCCAACTCTGTCAGCTTCAACTTGTGCCCTAACTCTTGGGTGCTTTCTTGCGAGTATTTTGCTGTCCCCTGTGGTTCCCCAGCAGTGGTAATGTTTAAAATGTGACTTATGGAGTTGTTGCTTCATTGCATGCCTATTCTGCCTCTTATTCGGTATTCCTTCTTGTGTATTTCTATGTATTGTGTTAGTGACAAGAGCCTGTGGTGCCATAACCTGGGTGGAGCCGGTGTTTGTGGCTCCTTGCTGTGCTGTCTAGGGCTCCCAGCGGCGGTGTTGAAATGCACGCTGTGCGTTCCACTGTTGTCATTCCGCCGCCGGGGAG